TCTGCTTGCTGGTAGCAGTGAACTACATAAATGAATGTCTTCATGGAGAAAATGAACTTTTGTCTGTAGTTTTCATTTGATTTTTTATCATTTTAACATTCCTTGTGTTGGTCAAACAGTCTCTTTTAAGTTGTTATTTAACCACTGATATTATTATTATTATTATTATTATTATTATTATATATATATATATACCGGTGTAACAGCAAACTTGTTTAAATCATGTAACAGTATAATTGTCCATCCCACAAAATGTTTAATATGTAAAAAACATCTAACCTAATTGAGTTTCTGTTTTCCATCTTTTCACATAAGACGCCATCTTGACACCATTTGTCGTAAGAATCATTCAACTCAATCCCTAAGACGTTTGGCACATGAGAGAGGAGTTTCAGCTACGACAGTCCAAAAAGCAGTGAAAAAAGACTTGAAAATAAAATCATACGTGTGTGTGTATTTGGGAAGCAATCCCTATTTTACTAAACATGCTTCGTTGAACAAGACTAAAAAGGTACTTTTATTTACTTTTTCATTTTTTTCTGCTATACTTAAAGTGTTTTCTTTTTTGGAATGAATGAATCTAAAAATTGCCCAATATGTGTTCCGAGCGCTTTCGGCTCAACTGTTAGCTATATTCAAGAATTATTTTTATATACTACTATACTAAATGGTATGTAAATGCTAATATAGACGATATATAAGTTGCTGAAAGTAGAGATATTATTAATTTTCAAATATGGCTAATATATCGCTATCTTCTTCATAATTAATGTCATTAAGGTTTAGTTAGCTTTTTTGGAATAAAGGCTTCCATCACTTTCAAGCGCTTTTGTGACGCCAAGCACGTATTACATTCGTGTTCCTGGTGAGTGAAGTTAGTATGATAATGGCTAACAGTTTAGCAGAAAGCAACAAACTTTTGGACAATTTTTACGCTCGTTAAGCCCAGAAAAGAAGACAATTCTACGTATATAGGAAAAACATTAAAACACTAATCAAAATAATTTTGTTTTTCTCGTTGAACAAAACATATATATATATATATATATTAGGAAATGGACAAAGTCCGACAATTTATTTATTAAAGACATTTTTATGTTTAACGTTCTTTTTATAGATACAAGTATTTAAGTAATAATTTATAATAAACAGTATTAAATAACATTTACCGGCCTGAATATCCGAGAAATTTTCATAGAAAATATTCGACTTTGCCAACCGAACGATCCTTTGTGGCCGAGACGGTTCCGTATAGGATGCAGGTTCGAATCCTGTCAAAGGACGAATATTTTCTATGAAAATTTCTCGGACATTCAGGCCGGTAAATGTTATTAAATACTGTTTATTATAAACAGAGCATTTACTTAAATACTTGTATCTATAAAAAGAACGTTAAACATAAAAATGTCTTTAATAAATATATATATATGTGTGCGTACATACATGTGTGTGGGGGATCGGTGTGTGTTTGTGTGGCTGAAATGTTATTCGCTTCCTAATACTAACAAAACATCAGAATTGTGGAGGAATCCCTTTATGGAAGGGGCCGAATACTTTTCAATATCCCCTCGCATATTGCGTGTATTTTTACTTAGTCTACGCGTATAATACGCATCTATGTCTTTTTGTTGTTGTGTTTTTAGTTATATTTAAGAACTTAAACTCCGTAATTACGGGAACGTAAACCTGGAATATGAAAGGAAGTTAAATTGACTAGAGGATATGTAAATTGGCAAAACAAAGGATGAAGGAGGAAGAAGATATTTACATTAGGATTATTGGATTATTTACATTAGGATTATTGGAATCCCTTTCGAAAACTTCTTTGTGGTAAAGGATTTTAAGATATTATATGATGGTTTTGTAGAAACAGCCTTTGACCATGATTTTGACAGATATTTCGTTTATTTAGTGGAATAATCTTTGCACATGCCATATGAACCAAGAGTCTGTCACGCATTCATGTGTAAAAATTCACAATCATGGAGCAACAATAACTGATCAGGCAATTAATATTTATATCTGAGCATGTCCCAAAATCGATCAGAAAGTAAATATGCATATATTGGTTTGTTGCTACCAAGACTCTCCTATGCGTGCGTGTACGGATAGATAGATAGATAGATAGATAATGAACAGGCAGAGATAGATAGATAGATAGATAGATAGATAGATAGATAGATAGATAGATAGATAATGAACAGGGAAAGATACATAGATAAATACATAGATAACGAACAGGCATATATATATATATATATATATATATATATATATATATATATATAGAGAGAGAGAGAGAGAGAGAGAGAGATAGATAGATAGATAGATAGATAGATAGATAGATAGATAGATAGATAATGAACAGGAAAGATACATAGATAAATACATAGATAACGAACAGGCATATATATATATATATATATATATATATATATATATATATATATATAGAGAGAGAGAGAGAGAGAGAGAGATAGATAGATAGATAGATAGATAGATAGATAGATAGATAGATAGATAATGAACAGGAAATATACATAGATAAATAGATAGATAATGAACAGGCAGAGATAGATAGATAGATAGATAGATAGATAGATAGATAGATAGATAGATAGATAATGAACAGGGAAAGATACATAGATAAATAGATAGATAATGAACAGGAAGTATATATATATATATATATATATATATATATATATATATATATATATATATATAGATAGATAGATAGATAGATAGATAGATAGATAGATAGATAGATAGATAAGAACAGCCTTTATAAAAAGTCAACTCTTCCTTGACATCATTCTTTTCCCATCTTTTCAATGAAAACATGTTTGAGGCGAACCAATAGGAAGCAACCCTCGAGTGGTAAATCGACATGCAATGCGGCCATCTTGGATGTATAATGTCACCAAGATAGCCAATTAGTCATACTGGACATTCTTTTCATTTGTCTGCATTGAGCAGTTATCTGTTTATTTCTTCTTCTGAGAAAAGCATCTTTTCTCGTTATTTTTCTCTTTTGAGCTCCACCCACCACGAAAAAACCTTACTAAACGAAAACGATCTGGCTCGTTTCAAATTCAGAGACAAAAACGGTGAGACTTACATAACAAATAATAAAAAAAACTTGTCCATTTTTTTCTCTTCTGATCTGTTCCTACCTATCACAGTCTGTTCCTACCTATCAATCGATCCATTGAACTTCCTACGTATATAAGTCTGTTCTTGTCTATTTAGTGTATTCATATTCACCTGTGTGTCTCTGTCGATGTCGAAACAAATAACAGCGTTTAATTCTGTTTATTCATCGGAGCGTCTTATCTTTTACCGCCATGTTATTTCTTTCTACATTTGTTTTGATTTAGTTTAACGGCATATCAACACCTGTTACTTAATGCCGACAAGATTTTTAGAATAGGTACGTATTAATAGAATATGTGTTCTTTGTAATAAAAAGCTATTTGTAGACCAGGTTTCATTGACGTATTTTTGTAAAGAGGGTTTTTGTCGAAAGTCAAATCTGTTGCTAGTAATATTTTTTTTCAAAAACGTATTGCTGGTAATATTTGTTTGTTTTTTAATCTATTGCTGGTAATATTTTTTTCAAAAATCTATTGCTGGTATTCTTACTATAAAAATCTATTTTTATGCTTTCATAATGTTTTGACCTCAGTTTGGGTGTTAACTATTTGCCCACCGCTGGGACCCCAACAATTGCTACCACCCTGTGTCAGGGTGGACCAAAGAACAACAGCTATTAAGAGGTGGCTTCACGCTCCACACACAGAGTCGTATATATATATATATATATATATACATTTAATGAAAAACAGACCACTTTAAGGTACCATTACAATAATTTATTTCACCAAAATCCTTTTTAAAGGACTCCGGATCATCAGGTAACAATTCCAACAACGAAATGAAAGGAAAAATGGGATTAGAAATTGATGGGTAGTGTAATTTTTGTAATTTAACAGGGAGGGTGAGAGTTGTAGTTAAAGAGACAAGGTAGAGTATACGGAGGGGTTAATTTCATATCTCTCTTAAGCATGCTTTATATTGGGGTAGGAGGAGTGACCGAACTTTGACCTATTTAGATGGTTAACTTAACGGAAATGATATATAGGAATGGGAGGGGAGTGGGGAGAAAAGAAAAGGAAAATGGAAAGGAGAGAGGAGACAGACGACAGTAATACAGATATATCCAAATGAGTGTTACGGCAAAGAGAGAGGGGGAGAGGGAAGTGAATCGAAAGAGGCTGTAATTTTAACAAAATTATGTAAAAGATAGATTTCAATGCTTGATAGAAATTTAGATGTCTAAAAAATGATGAATGTTATCAATTTAAACATTTAATTTTTTAAGTAAATAGTTTAGGGACTTAATATAAGTTAACTACTATTTTTATTAGCACATTTATCGAGAACATATTAAAGAAATATTTAAAATTATAATAGTTTATTTACCCGACCAATTGTACTTCCATAATATTGTAAAAAAAATTTCGGTAACAATAACATCTATATTAGTGTTACTTTTAATCTAATTTATGAATGCAATTTTTCTTTATTATTATATGGGTAAACTTAATTAAGGTTTATATATATATATATATATATATATATATATATATATATATATATATATATATATGGGGTGTGGGTGTATGGATTTATAAGTGAATATCCCTACCGATAAATAATTATTTCGTTTACATCTTTATATATCCGTAAATCATGATTTTCTAATTCATGCGCACATCATTTTTCGGAATTTCCACGAATATATGAAAGTATATTATGTTTTTAACAGTATCTTCACAAATTCTACTTTGTTTCTACTGATTAATTCAACTTTTAATTGCTTTTCATTTCTTTTTCTTCTTTCTTCTTTGTTTCATTTCTTCTCGATTGCTGATTTCTCTATAGCCATCATTCTTTATTTTCGGTTATTCCATATTATTACTTCTATAACCACGTATATGGCTCTCTTCATTTTTGTTTCTCTCTCTCTATCTATCTATCTATCTATCTATCTATCTATCTCACACACTCTCTCTCTCTCTCTCTCTCTCTCTCTCTCTCTCTCTCTCTATATATATATATATATATATATATATATATATACTAGCAGCATGTCCCGGCGTTGCCCGTGCTTGATTCAAAAATCGTACGACTCATACAGCAATCGTTATCATTTGACTTAAAACATTTTTGCCCTTCCTTGCCTTTAAAAGACTGCCCTTTGCCGTGATGATGTTGCTACATGCCTTACTTCTTGCCTATCTCACACTGCGAATTTTTTCTAAGCTCTATACTAAACATTAAATCTGTTACAAAAAAAAGAACTAAATAAAATGAACACAAAACGATCAGCTTTAAAAAAAGGACTCGTAACTGAAAAAACCGAATGAAAAAAGAATGTTAACAACAAATACTTTTTCACACCCAACCCATTTCTGCGGAATCAGAATCAACGTTGAGTTTAAGCAAGCGAATGAGCCAATTGGAGTAAAGTGCCATGCAGATTTAAATTTTTCCCACTTGTGATGAATGCAGCTATCGATTTTTTTTGCATGCTAGTATGCTAGTTAACATTCGTGTCAGTCAGCTGTTGGCTCTCATGCTGGCCAATAGAATCTTCCTGCCTATTCGTGGCAGCCAGCTATAGGATCTCACTCTGGCCAGTAGATAATGGCCGCAAACTACATGAAAACTGCCGTAGAAGCATGAAAAAATCGATTATTTCCACTATCGATGGGAGTTGGGAAATGCAAAGTCGGTCTTGTCCTTTCCGCTAACTTGGTGCATGTGCATGTAAATTTTGGTGCAAATCCGTCGAAAATTGCGTCCGTGCATTCGTTTGCTTGTCTTTTATTCTTTCTTTCCTTCTTTTGTTTGTTTGTTACTTTTTCTTTCTTCACGATTATTCCATATTGTTTCTTTCTATAGCCATCATTATTTATATAATTATTTTCGGTTATTCCACATTAATGTTTATTATGGCCATGTTTATCTCTTTATATTTCTTTTTCTTTCATTCTCTCTCTCTTTCTCTCTCTCTTTCTCTCTCTCTCTCTCTGTCTCTTTGCGCGTTCTTTTTCTTTCTTCTATTTGTTCTTTCCTTACATTCTTAACGATCATTCTATTTTATTCCTTTCGACAGCTATTTTACTTCGTTTCTATTTTCGTATCTTTCTTCAGCCTACATAGACCATGTTATTATTCTATGATCTTTTTTTTATCTCCTTTGTATTTTTTCCCTTTCTTTATTTCGTTTTTCGTTGTTTTTTTTTCTCGATCATACCGTTTCATTTTTTTTTTATATGACCATCTTTATTTCTTTCTCGATCATTATTATACATTATTATTTCTATGACGAGCTTTCTTTTATATTTCTTTTCTCTTTGTTTTCCTTTCTTTCTATCTTTCTTTTCTGTTTGTTTTCCTTTCTTTCTATCTTTCTTTCTATCTTTCTTTTCACTTTGTTTTCCTTTCTATCTTTCTTTCTATCTTTCTTTTCTCTTTATTTTCCTTTCTTTCTATCTTTCTTTTCTCTTTATTTTCCTTTCTTTCTATCTTTCTTTTTTCTTTCTTTTCCTTTCTTTCTATCTTTCTTTTCTCTTTTTTTCCCTTTCTTTCTTTATTTCTTTTCTCTTTTTTTCCCTTTCTTTCTATCTTTCTTTTCTCTTTGTTTCCTTTCTTTCTTTCTTTTTTCTTTGTTTTCCTTTCTTTCTAGCTTTCTTTTCTCTTTCTTTTCCTTTCTGTCTATCTTTCTTTTCTCTTTCTTTTCCTTTCTGTCTATCTTTCTTTTCTCTTTTTTTCCCTTTCTTTCTTTCTTTCTTTTCTCTTTTTTCCCTTTCTTTCTATCTTTCTTTTCTGTTTATTTTCCTTTCTTTCTATCTTTCTTTCTATCTGTCTTTTCTCTTTGTTTTCCTTTCTTTCTATCTTTCTTTTCTCTTTGTTTTCTTTTCTTTCTATCTTTCTTTACTCTTTGTTTTCCTTTCTTTCTACCTTTCTTTTCTCTTTGTTTTCCTTTCTTTCTATCTTTCTTTTCTGTTTGTTTTCCTTTCTTTCTACCTTTCTTTCTATCTTTCTTTTCTCTCTGTTTTCCTTTCTTTCTATCTTTCTTTTCTCTTTGTTTTCCTTCCTCTATATCTTTATTCATTTTCTTTTCTATGTTTTTTTTCTCTCTTTCTATCTTCCTTTTCTCTTTGTTTTTCTTTCTGTATCTATTCATTCATTTATTTATTTTCACTCCGTTTTTTCTTTCTTTCTATCTTTCGTTCTATCTTTCTTTTCTTTTTCTTTTTCTTTCTTTTTCTCTTTTCGTTTTCTTTGCATCTTTCTTTATCTCTTTTTCTCCTTTTTTCCCTCCATCTTATTTTAGTATTTTTTCTATATTTCGTTCTATCTTTTCTCTTTATTTTTCTTTCTATGTTTATTTAATTATTTTTCCTTCTTTCTATCGTATAAATTTGTTATATTTTTCTTCTATTTGTTTTTTTTTTATCTTTCTTCGTTTTTGTTTTTCTTGCTCTCTTTGTTCTTCATTCTATCTTTCTTTCTATCTTTTTTTTTCTTTTGGTTTTTCTTCGTCTTTATTTATTTATTTATTTATGTTCTCTTTGTTTTTGTTTCTTTCGATCTTTCTTTCTATCTTTCTTTTCTGTTCTCTTTGTGTTTCCTTCTATCTTTTTTATTCATTTTTTTATTGTCTCTTTGTTTTTTTCTATCTTTCTTTTCTCTTTGTTTTTCTTTCTATCTCTCTTTCTATCTTTGTCTTCTTTTTTCTTTCTTTTTATCTTTCTTTCTATCTTACTTTTCTCTTTGTTTTTATACTATCTTTATTTTTTTTCTCTTTGTTTTTCTGTCCTCCTATCTTTTTAGTTTTCTTCACACTTCTTTCTTTCTTTCTTTCTTTCTTTCTTTCTTTTCACTTCTTCCCAATCACTGCATAAACATTATTTTTCCCTCGACATAAGTTTTGTTTTCCTTTTTATTTTCTATCGTGTTTGTTTGCTTTTTTTCTTTCTCCGTCTTCGTTGTTATCCACTTACAATTCAATAAAGACAAATGGAGAGAAAGAAGATGTAAGGCGAGTTAATAGCTGAGTCTAGAATATGATTTTCCCACAAGTTAACGATATAATTCAGTACAAAGTCACAAAAAGAAAGAAGATAAAAGAAAAGGGGAAGGAAGAAAGATACGTTTACTACGGCCCATGCTCCTAACTACTGCGCTATTGGGAAACCTACGCTGCGATATAATATTTAATAGAATTTCTCTATTAACGGCATTTGTTAAAAACACAAAATAAAACAAAAAGCATATGTTTAATGTCCCGATGACTTCTCTAAATTTTTTTTCACTTCTTTCAGTTTTTGCTTCAACCGCGACTTCAGATCCTATTTCCTTATCAGCATTTATGACTATTTTGTAGATTCCAAGTTTTCTTAATTTGCTGATTCTTATTCTGTCTTTGCCTTCAGAATTTGCTGATTCTTATTCTGTCTTTGCCTTCAGAATTTGCTGATTCTTATTCTGTCTTTGCCTTCAGAATTTGTTGATTCTTATTCTGTCTTTGCCTTCAGAATTTGCTGATTCTTATTCTGTCTTTGCCTTCAGAATTTGTTGATTCTTATTCTGTCTTTGCCTTCAGAATTTGTTGATTCTTATTCTGTCTTTGCCTTCAGAATTTGCTGATTCTTATTCTGTCTTTGCCTTCAGAATTTGTTGATTCTTATTCTGTCTTTGCCTTCAGAATTTGTTGATTCTTATTCTGTCTTTGCCTTCAGAATTTGCTGATTCTTATTCTGTCTTTGCCTTCAGAATTTGTTGATTCTTATTCTGTCTTTTGCCTTCAGAATTTGTTGATTCTTATTCTGTCTTTGCCTTCAGAATTTGCTGATTGTTATTCTGTCTTTGCCTTCAGAATTTGCTGATTCTTATTCTGTCTTTGCCTTCAGAATTTGTTGATTCTTATTCTGTCTTTGCCTTCAGAATTTGCTGATTCTTATTCTGTCTTTGCCTTCAGAATTTGTTGATTCTTATTCTGTCTTTGCCTTCAGAATTTGTTGATTCTTATTCTGTCTTTGCCTTCAGAATTTGCTGATTCTTATTCTGTCTTTGCCTTCAGAATTTGTTGATTCTTATTCTGTCTTTGCCTTCAGAATTTGTTGATTCTTATTCTGTCTTTGCCTTCAGAATTTGCTGATTCTTATTCTGTCTTTGCCTTCAGAATTTGTTGATTCTTATTCTGTCTTTGCCTTCAGAATTTGTTGATTCTTATTCTGTCTTTGCCTTCAGAATTTGCTGATTGTTATTCTGTCTTTGCCTTCAGAATTTGCTGATTCTTATTCTGTCTTTGCCTTCAGAATTTGTTGATTCTTATTCTGTCTTTTGCCTTCAGAATTTGTTGATTCTTATTCTGTCTTTGCCTTCAGAATTTGTTGATTCTTATTCTGTCTTTGCCTTCAGAATTTGTTGATTCTTATTCTGTCTTTGCCTTCAGAATTTGTTGATTCTTATTCTGTCTTTGCCTTCAGAATTTGCTGATTCTTATTCTGTCTTTGCCTTCAGAATTTGTTGATTCTTATTCTGTCTTTGCCTTCAGAATTTGTTGATTCTTATTCTGTCTTTGCCTTCAGAATTTGCTGATTGTTATTCTGTCTTTTTGCCTTCAGAATTTGCTGATTCTTATTCTGTCTTTGCCTTCAGAATTTGCTGATTCTTATTCTGTCTTTGCCTTCAGAATTTGTTGATTCTTATTCTGTCTTTGCCTTCAGAATTTGCTGATTCTTATTCTGTCTTTTGCCTTCAGAATTTGTTGATTCTTATTCTGTCTTTGCCTTCAGAATTTGCTGATTCTTATTCTGTCTTTGCCTTCAGAATTTGCTGATTCTTATTCTGTCTTTGCCTTCAGAATTTGTTGATTCTTATTCTGTCTTTGCCTTCAGAATTTCAAACAGTTTGCCATTTTAGAAGCAAACCCATCTGCTTTCATCTCTTACTATTATTATCTCTCTTTTCAATGGCTTTGTATTATTATTATTATTATTATTATTTCCTTTGATTTCTGGTGTGTACTCATTTCTTTCCGGGTCCTGACCAGGGACCTAAGGTCAAAAATGGCATCATGGCATTTTCCACTGAGCAATTTAAAAAAAAAAAACAATAAAACATTTAGCAAAAACAAAAAAAAATACACACATATTTTACATAGATAAAGCCCTCTGCAACGTATGGACTGTATTCGTGAGAACTATGTTTTGTATTTCTTTAGGACATGGGCTACCAGGAATCCCTTCAATGAGTCTATTTGAATCTTTTCCAATCAATGTTCTCATGTACCACATTTTTGAGATTTCGATTTCAAGGTCCTTGCATTTTGATAGCTTTTTGAAAATCATCAAAGATATATTTCAGTTTGCAGAGTATGCCATGTCAATAAGGTGTCAGTTTTTGTTTTGTTTTTTTTTTTTTGTTTTCTGTCTGTAATAACGATGTCTGGGTGATTAGCTTTAATTTTCCTGTCTGTGTGTATTGTGTAGTCCCATAAAATTGTTACAGGCCCTATCTTCGTAACCGGGTCTGGATTGTGTTCACACCAATTTTTCTCAGTTTCCTTTCCATAGAAGTTGCAGATTTTCCGGTGCATATGATGGCCAACCCTGTCATGAAGGGTTTTATATTCAGTGGGTACCAATAACGTGCAACCTGATACAAGATGATCATTTGTTTCTGGATATCACTTTCATGTTCTTTGACAGATATCATCATCCAGTCTTCTATAGTTTCCACGTATCTTTGAAGGCCAATTGTTGCAGTATTGTAAGACATTTCTAGATGAACTAATCCCCTGACTCTTAAAAATAATAAAAATACTCCCAGCATGCAACAGAAACTGTTCCTGCCAGAAATACGGACATCGCCCAAAAGACGTTAAATTCAAATTCGCATCACGAAGCTTGGTACGAGAAACACATGTCCAACTTCTCTCTGTGATGCGGCTTTAATACTACGGAGTAAATTCTCCCTTTTATCACAACTACCATAAAATAATTGTAAACTAAAAGATGCACAAACCAATACACACAAGAAAAATATAAATAAATTGTATGAAATTAATTAACTATTTACCTTGCTTCTCTTGTTATTTGCGTACGTTTAATTTCTTTTCAAGCATGCTTTTATCTCCGTGAACACAAGGCTAATTTCTGCTGCTATGATGTTATTGAACCCCCATAATATTTTGGTAGCCGCCGATGTGCATAACAAAAACAAACTATTCACTTATTCTATTTTTTTCTGGGACGGTTTTTTTTCTTTTTTCTTTCGCCTGACGATTTCATTTTAGGAGTTTAATTTCTAATCATTTGTATTTTTTTAAAATAATACAAAAACCTCCCTCTTAAGCTTCGGAAATATTTATGTTTCTTACCACGAACAGAATATTAACAAAACTGTCCTAGAAAGAAAGAAAGAAAGAAAGAAAGAAAGAAAGAAAGAAAGAAAGAAAGAAAGAAAGAAAAACGAAAAGGAGCAAACAAAACGTAATTTAAAAAAAAGAAAAGAAAAAAGGAAATACAAATCGAAGAAAAAATAACTGAGAGTTCCAGAGTAAAAGAAGACAAGAGTACAAAAAAAGGGAAACAAACATACAAGCGAAATGAAGGCAAGAAGGAAAATCGAAAAGGAAAACACTAAATAAAGGAAACAAAAAATGAAAGAAGCAAGAAAAGACGATAGGAAGAAAAAAGATAATAAAAAGATTAGTCAGAAACAGAGAAAACAAAAGTAAAAAAGAAAGAAAGAAATACAAAGAGTGGAGAAAGGGAGAAAAGACGAGCAAAAGAAAGAAAGGAACCAAATAAATAAATAAATAAAGAAAGACAAAAAAGAAAAAAAACAAACAGAAAGAAAGAAGGAAAGCTCTACAACAATTAAATCAAAAGAAAAGGAGAAAAATGAAAACATGGGAAAATAAATGAAGGAAGAGAGAAAAAACAGCTTAAAGATGAAAAAGAAATGTGAAAATGAAAGAAAAGCAGAAACAGACAAAAAAAGAAAACAAAAGAAAGGAAGGAAGGAAGCGCAAAAACAGGACAAAGTAAAATTTAAAAAATTAACATAAATAAAATTAAGCTCTCTTTTAGAGAGGAAAATCAAAATATAGCGCTGACGTTAAGAAATAAAGAAAAAAAAAGAAAATGGCGGACATTGCTCTTTCCTGTCTATCTCATAACTCGAACGCCACTCGCTGCTTCGGCTCACTGCCCCCATTATCATCCTCTTCTATTTGCAGTCAAGTCTGGAAATCTAAACATGTCTTCATACCTTGAGGGAATTTCTAAGAAATAATTAGCCAATAATTTGTTAGAGTTTACAAAATGAATATCGCAGATGTTGAAACTGTTCGGTTGGATTCGCAGTATCCAATGAAAGAAGGAAGCTGATAGCTAAGTTTAAAATAAAAAGAAGAGTTTTATAAGTAAACATCCTCAAGTTATTGCTCTAGATAAGGAAATGATAAACTAGAGGTTTATATAACCCGGGAAATTACAAGTTAGATTTATTTAAGATTTATTACGAGTTAGATTTATTTAAGAACGACGTCGAAACTTTCATTCACTATAGTTATTATTTTAATAATAGAACAAATTATACAATACGTGACAACAACAACTTAGTGCCGACGACATTTCTACCAGATATTTAAATTGATTCATTGATTCGTTTTCTACGGTTTATCAACCCTTTTGCAGGTTATTTAAAGCCACCAAATATTTTTATAGATTGTAAGAATTTCTTTTGAGGAAGGAGATAATAATAAGTGTTTAGGGATACAAATTTTGCTAATTAACCCATAGCTGGCGGGGAGAAAAGGTGGATTCATACTTTTGTGTTATAGTGGAACACACCTATTCTATAGTTAATAGACTCTCCCACCTATAATAAGTAGGAGTAGTAGGAGTCGCTCAA